CACATCACCCTCCATTGCCTGTTTGTATAGGCCATATAGTCGCAGTCGATCAGCCGGCGGTGGTCGTGACGCTCCGGTCTTGGGGATTTTCTTGACAGTGTTGAGCGCGTGTACAAACACGCGGTCTGTTGCAAAGGTGACTATCAGTATATAGGGGAGGCACAAGTGTGAAGGTACAGAAGCACAGATTCGGCCAGCAGGCTAGATGTTTAAACTGACAAAAAGAAGAACACGATCAACGGTAGTAGAGAAGTCTGAACGCGCATACCAACAGAGTCCGCCATTGCGGGCTCGAACCTAAACTGCAAGTGCGATCACGGTGCGTATTGTTTTTTCCTGCGTCTAGGTATGCTGCTATTCGAAAAAAGGAGGTAGCGAGGATTGAGACGGCAGTCCACACACGATCGTTTTCGTTTGGTTGAAGGGGTTACCGAATTGCCGCCCAATTGCAATTCTTATGACTCGGTGGATAAGGATTGGCAACCAGACACCACCAAAACGTCGGGTATTACAAAGTAGCTCGTTAGTATTAGAATTGTAGTAGACAATATAAGGATATAGTAACTTGAAGTAGGAGATAATGAGGTTGGGTGGTATAAGTTATGGCGGGTTAGCGGAGAAGGCACTACGAGGTGAGTAGGTAGGAGGTAAGAGTTCGTCATCTCTCTCCTCGGCTGGTTCTACGCCAATGCGCCCATAATTACTATCACTGCCTCTAGTGATGCTCCGATGTTTGCCTCGGCTGTGGGGCTACCGACAGCACCCTGACTCTCGTACTTTTAAGCTTTCTGGGGAGTTGGGGCTAGTGGGTGGGGTTACCTAACTAACACTTTCCGAGGCGTAACTGTCTTCAGCAGCACGTGAAGAGGTTGAGTGTATTTACTAACTAATACCTACCTTATAATTAAAATTAAACAATGCAATGGACAATTTGCTACATTTTTGTTCGACTATATAGTGAGCGAGAATATCTCCGGAGCGCTCTCTATGTATACATACATATTTCAGGTTTCTTTCCTCTGCAGGGAGTATATTATTAGAAGATCCTGAGTGTTTCAATGGCGATTACACGGCTAAACAAATTGTATGTCAGTACATGAAATCATATCCCTCCTTTTTTTAAGTTGTTGCTATTGCACTCGGAACTGGGGTACACCTCGAAGGCAACAAGGCCAAGTTTTAGGGTGATGTCTCTTATTTGGATCTGTTTCTAGCATGCAAGGAGCTCACGCGAATGTTGCTTCAGTACTCGGGTAAGAAAACATTGGCAGCCGTATTAAAGTTGCATAAGATACAGCTCTTGCATGACTAACTACATGCTTTTTTCCACGTATAATAGGCTGACAGCTTACCGACTGGGGCGGGAGTCGTCGCAAAGAGACCTGCGTTCTCTACCATAAATGTCTCTAACTCCTTCATCCTCTTTTCTGCAGTGTTCGCCCTCTGGGCCTCGTGTTCCGTTTTGTCATTGCCCTCAGTTACAAACTCTTCGAACAATTCCACCTCGCCAATGGTATGTGCAAAGGGAAAATTGTTAGGCATGTTCAGCAAGATTGTCGCCTCGTTTACCTCGTCCAATACGATTGTCATCTTCGCTAGGGGTGATTTGCCGTTGTCGAGCTCTGGGACTTCCCACAATGACCGCCTCGTCCGGAGATCTGTGACCACTTGCAAGTCCTCCAGCTTTGTCTTTGATCCCGTGATCCGTAACACCTCGTCCGAAACGTTCCTCATCCCGTCAAATTCTACAAATTGAGAATCGTTAAAGTGACCTCCGAGTCGCAATTTAGCATTCCATTGTAGTTTTTCCCTGCACAATGATCTGTCTCAGTACCTAGCTCGACGGCGGAATCTCAGTTGGAAACGAGGGGTTCACCTCTGCTTAGAGCAAGGATTTTTGAGCCACTCACCTAGTATCTGTGGCAAGCACTGAAGTAGCTTGGTCTGTGTTCTCGCGACCATCGCCATTCTTCTGTCCGAATGCGTTCGAGGCTAGGACCTGTACATGGCGCTGCCGTACCCAGAGACCCAGCTTGCTGAGCTGATCGTTCTGTGTGTCGTAATAGATGTCACGGATGATCTGCGCTTGCCGCCTGACCGCAACGAAAGAGGATCCGTTTCGGGCGTTGTAGACTCTGAAGGGTTGTGTTGGGCAGTCTTTGGATAGGAAGGTCGAGACGAAGTCGGGGCCTGGATTGAACTTGCGCTCCACTTCCACTTTTGATATGATGCGCTTGAAGCTCTGCGCGATAGCTTTTTGTCCCATCCCTTGCATTTGGCGTCGGTCCAGAGTCTCAAGCAAAACGTGCCCTGAGGAGAAAGGACAAATGGCTACAGAATTTTGACGTGTGCCCCGAATATTTTGCTTTTGCAAAACTATGTGCTTTATCACGGCAAGCTGCATTACCAGATTTCAAACAGAGCGGCCTGCAAAAAAATGTTTGAAATCATCCTTAAAAAAAAAAGCACTAACATCAATATAGAGCGGGAAGATAGGCGGAGAATCTCTGTGCTACCCTGTTGCTGTGCAGTCATCTGTTACTCTAAGCGAATTGTTACAACATGACGGATGCAGGTAGGTAGTACTCTCGGTACTTAAATAACAAGCCCCCTTCAGGAAGATGCCCGTTGCTCTATTGATCTGCATGGATACCTCTAGATAGGTACTTATGTACTGGTGGGCAAGCGAGGCAAGGTAGGCCAGCGAGGCCAGCTATGTAGACGAGGATAGGCGAGGATAGGGTCCCTACATAGTAGGTACCCGATGGTTTGGAACCCTGTAGCATGATTAACCGAATTGGGTATCTTATAGTGGACCTTCTGGTGAACATACCCATGCGTACTACCGGCCCTACTTAGATGTATGTATATTGAAGCGCGATAAATTTTCGGTGACAAAAAGTTCAGATTTAATCACTTCATGATGGCAAAGCAATTTTACCACAACAACTTGTCGTTTGCTGAGCCACATCCCCTTCCAGGAATTTCACTAAGTGCTCTGTACACTCCGACCTCCAGTGTCAGGGTCCTACAAGTAACATATGGACCCCTGAAGTGGATATGATAGTAGCCTTGGGCATATAAAAGGGGGCTAACCTTCACCTCTTTATATGGTTATTGCTCCTTTATACCCATCTGCTATGTGACTGCTTTAAAACATTTGTTCATTCTGTGGCATATACATCCGACAGTGACTATCTACGGAAACTCTGTAATCCTGACACCATGTGATGTGGAAGAACCACCTAGATCGCAGAATGATATAACAAGGTCTGTATCAGGGCTTGGAATAACTTCTATTCAGAATCCAATAATCTGTTAGGGAGAGCCTAAGACCTTGGCCATTCGGATATCCTTCCGTTCAGGTAGGCTTGGCTAGAAACTATATACAACTCAGGGTCCTTACGTAAACCTCCGTCTACACCACCCATGTCTCAGTTAAGCGAGGGCTGAATAGCCTCACGTAGGACATCAGGGATAATATCAGTTTCGAACGGGAAGACGCGTCTCAGCGCGTGTAACGCGTACAGAAGGTCTAAGACTAGCAGCCTCGTATTGCTACGTGTGACAGATGATCCGTGACTTCCTGCGAGACAAAAACTACTGCTGCCTTCTGAATGCTTATCCCACTCCTGAAACACAATATGTAGTTTACACCGAATGATCAGGGCTTGGGCACTACTTGGTTGATCGACCCGTTTCCACGCAACATGGAGATCGTCTTTGCATTTCAGGGGGAGCTTGTCACGAAGGGTGAACCATAAGTAGAGGTTACGTGACTCATTGTGAGAGGAGCTACAATATCCTCTGGTAAGTACTACTAGGCCATATACACACAACTCATTTGCTCCATATCCTGTCAGAGATAAGCGAGAAAAAGAGGGTAGGGGAAGAAAAAGGGGCAAGAGACGCACCCAGGTGTTGCAAAGATATTAATGTGTTCCTATATTAGATCGACAAGGCAATGCCGTTGCTCCCAAATGGAACCGTGCGAAAGCCCAAGGGCAGTTTTTGAACGGGGTAGGGGATATGTCGATATTGTTGCTACTTACACTTGTAGATTTCCGTAGATTGAGACAAAGAATATTTTTTACACCAGTTCATGGTCTCAATGTCCCGGTGTCTAGCGACTAGGACATAGGATTGGCCAAGGATCTCCGGAAAAAGTAGGTAGAAATAAGTGACTTGTTAGTCGCCGGTCAAGCGTAAACTTAGGTTGCGGCTCAATACTTTTCAACTCAAGTATTCTTCCCAAGCCAATCAGAGCTTGTTGCATTCTAAGCGAGCAAGAGGTCATTGGTCTCAGCAGCCTTGAAAAGGAACGCCGCATATTGTGCGGTGAAATGGATAAAGCTGTCCTGGTTGAGTTTTCCTAGTTTAATAAGGACGTTTCTTGTCATTATTGTAGGACTATCGCTAGACCGTTGTGATGACAAACGTTTTCGACTATCTGCGAATATGCCACTTTGCCCTACCTCTAAGCGTCTCACTGTATTAGGTCAATGATGTTGAGTACGCATCTTCAAAACACTTCTAGTGAAAACAAACAGCACTAGATAATGGATGTATATTTCCTTGCATCATTTAAAGGGGTTATTAAGGTGTAGTAGAGTGCGCTGGCTCGGAGGCATTTATGGAAATCTAGGCTAATCTTACAGCTGCCTACGCGGTTATTTAAGATGAAAATTAAGCTTTTGGACACCTTTCTGAAACAGTTTACATATAATTAAATGAGAATGACATGTTATAAATTTCTGCAGTATCATTACTTGCTCTGATTTCAAGCTAGACACAAAAAATTTACCATGAAACAAATCAGCATTAAAACTAGGAGAATAAGGAAAATCCGTAACTTTCCTGTTTAATGTTGCTATTATGCAAGAACTTGAGTACAGTGTTTACTTCTCATGTGCTCGAGCACACAAAATTGATTCCATCACTACCAATCCAAGTTCTGCTGAGTCATGAACAGCTATTGCGCGCGATCAATCACCTATCCGGGTCCCATAACTCAGTTGGTTAGAGTGTCGTACTAATACTATAACACCCTTATAACATTGGTCATGCGAAAGTCGTGAGTTCGACCCTCACTGGGACCAAGACTTGTTCCTTTGCTTTTGTGGTAGCTGTACCTTTTTTCCGCTTCATACCTATGCTTGAGTAGACGGGGAGAAAATGCCAAGGTAGCTGAGCACGGTGTTACTGCAAATACGGAACGTGATGTGTCATTTATTGGAGCTCTTAAAGGGCCCTTGAGAAGGCGATCAGGTAGTGGAATGAACATTTTAACGTCAATTCTGGCTACAAGTACTACCATAATTTTTTTTTTTTTCAAAGCTGAAGACAACTTTCTATTTGGTGCTTTTTGAGAGTTGAGCGTGAGGCACCCAGGCGCATTTATTGAATTTAGTTATCTGAAGGGTTCTCGGCCGCCTTGACGATCGTAGAGTCCATGTCGTTCTTTAGCTTCCGCAGCCGCTTGATCAACTTCTTATTCTCCAAGGCTTTCAGTGCTGCGTTATTACCTGCGTCTTGTTTTGATAGACCACTTCCGTAACCAAGGCTAAGATTTGTCTCGCCTAGGCCATCGTAGTATGCCCCCACGGTGAACCATGGCAGGCCACTGTTCTTGTCTTTCTTGGGCTGGCCAATATCCTGATAGGAAATCTGGACTCCCTTGGTTGCAATAGTTTGAGATAAGACTACTTTCGGGCGCCTCTCCACGACAGGTTGTCCCTGAGTTCCCACTGAATTGGAATATTCTCTAACAACGGATCCCTTGTATTCATCACGAATTTCTCGTCTGATAACAGTGCCCCAGACTGGTCTTATCCATGCTAGAACACGTGAGAGGCCATCAGTATCGCCTAGAATAGCAGCAGCGACATAGGCTTCTAGTAGATCGCCAAGAATTTTCTTCCTCTCCTTTGCTGACGCAGATGCACGAGCCCCCGTCTGAGACGGCCTACCTCCAGGTTGAAATTCAGCGGGCAATCTGGCTCGTTTGTCAAGATTGTATCGCAGGGTAAATTCGGACAAAGTTTCATTTTTCACGAGCCGCTCGCGAAGTTGCGAGCACCGCCCTGCTGATAGATTGGGAAAGGTCTGGTAGATGAACGCGGATGAGATAAGATAAAGGTACGCATCGCCGATCCATTCAAGCCTTTCGTAGTCCATCTCCCCAAGGCTTCTTGCCACACCAGCGTGCGTCCGGGCTGCCCTTTCGAGAATGGGGTCCAGCACAGGAGGCAACGGTGGTAGAACATCCGAATCGGGCACATCTTGAGGAGTCCATTTCGTGAGGAGTGCTAGATGCGGGATCGGCAATCCTGATGCTGCTTGGTGCTGGTCCACTTTCTGGATTTTGGGCCGGCTTTCGGATTCTGCCCTCACGCTTGCGGTCTACCAATAGATGTTAGAGAAGTGATATGAGCTTTGAGTGTATTTTCGAGTCTGGCACACCTCATCTTGGGACAATGCATTTGCCGCGGGCCGTATTTGAGCGATATGTTGTTTGACTGTCAAAAGGATCTTCTCATTTGAAGGCGAGCCACCTGACTTTTCTCCCAGTCGCTCAAGGTCCTGCTTGAGAGACTGCGCGGCTTTCAGTAAATTGTCGGCATGAATTAATGCCGAATCGTAGTGAGAACTACCTGAAGGTGACGTTGAAAATTCCTGAAAAGATCGCTTAGACATGATGGCGCTGGCTCAGGACTGGAGTGAATCAGTAAGATGAACTTATTTTGTCTTGGATTATTGGGAATAAGGTAATCCACCTACAGTAGATGTGCTTTTAAAAATGCCTACCTAATGTACCTGTTGGGTGGGGCAAGCCTAACTCATAGAGGTACTATGCAGCAAACATGTACCGGAATCCGATATAGGTTCAGAGGTCTGGCTTTAAAAGTAACATAATAATCTATTAACTGAGTATACCTTTAGCAGGACTAGGATAAGCGGGTTCTTCTAGGATAATAACCTCTTTTTCCTAAGGTATCAATCTATTGATAAGAGGAGATTGAGACTCGAGACTTAAGTGAAGCAATCTCTTACCTATTTAGGTTAGACGTGGCACCTTGTAAAACTACCTTACTGCTAATGCACAAACGGGCCTCTGGCTTAAGAGTGGAGACTGAATGTGGACACAGCCTCTGGACTTCTTCAAACTTTTGGCTTGCGACAAACCAGCCCATCACGAATTTTCGAGGTAATCATCGAGCCATCAGTTCGTCAACGATGGCAGCTGTCCCTCGTGCACGGCTTCTGGACCTTATGAAGGTAAGGAGATGTCTAAATACGCGAAACACGGCGCTGATCACCAATCTCGCGTCAGGTCCAGTGCCAGATCTTCTCGACGACCTACAACCCTGAAGGGATACGACTGGGGAATAAAATTCTTCGACAGCGGCTCCGAGGCCCGTCTCTAGCCAAATACTATCCGCCCAGGGGACCCACGATCAATACGTTAGAGAAGGAATTCAGGAGTCTGGGATTGGAGACAATAGACGAGGAGGAGGATGATCGACAAGAACATATAGCAGGGCAAGTCGCTCGTGGACTCATATTATGTGTCGCATGCCTAAAGCTAACCAATCTTTTACTTCAGCCGGAAACAACGTGGCAAGGGTGTCCCAAAAAAGAAGCGCACTGCGCCAGGTATGATTCTCCTTCAAGCCCTCCAGCACTCTTAGATGCTAACACCCAAGTGCAGAGAAGAAAGAGAAGAAAGGGAAATAAAATCCATGTTAGCTACGACCTGACGCTTGTATTATCGACATGTATAACAATTGCGATACTCACGAATTATGGACAAAATGGGCATTGATGTGTGGGCAAGGAGCTGGGACGCCTTGGGCCATCCATGATAAGCTTTTGAAGACTTCTTTGTCCACCGTACATCCTAGTGGCGACACGACCTATCGCTACCTAGATTCTCCAGCTATAACACCAATATTAAAACACTGGGCAACTTGGACGCATACGGATGCTGCTCTCGGGCTGTAGGTGATGGTGATAGGGGCGACCTCGCCAGCTAGGTCCTCTTGACGGACATACCTCCTGTGCTGCTGTTTTGGACAGGGAGAAAACGACTGCGTAATAGGGGTTTGGGGATGTAGTTACTTCAGAGTAAGGGACCTTGCTTTCGTACCTGTCCAATGTCCTTAAAATGCACCGATACCAAAACTAAAAGTGTGAGAGGAGGTTTAGTTATATACAGGTTCATTATGCCACGAACTTTTAATTGCGCTGCTCCTAGCCATGGATAAATCGACATCCCTTCCGTCCCTACTTCAGTTTATTACCGTAGCTCAACGGATACTGAGGCGGGCATGTATCTCGCGACGTGCATGTGGTCGGTGCTACTGGATACTAGTACGACTTGATCATAAGCTACTGTGTCATTGTGCAACATCGAGCTTTCCCATAACATAGCATGGATGACTGATAATATCACTACGCCACACCTAATCCACACTTTGTGCGGGGTGTAAAAAAAAAATAAAGTGTTTGAACAAGCAGTCAGTAAACTCAGTTCCCAAAGTGTAATCTGGTAGCTTACACCGGCGTCACGAAAGAGTCCAGATCGAATCATCTCTTCTATGTCCTGGACAAAATAGTAATAGCAGTGTTATAACATAGGTATTTGAAAGCACAAACAACTCCGAGAGAGATATGCTGGTATGTTGGAAAACACCATTCGCCTAATATCATCTAGTAACATGCTTATTCTGATTACCAGACACATGGAGTCTGAGTGTCTAAGTATATCTTAAATATCACAACTTGGAAGCAGAAAGCGAAAGGAGGTTGCACAGGAGGTGTAGGTGTTTGTCGGCACCTACTACATACCTACCTTATCTACCTGAATGGGCGCTACCCAGCACTATATCGTAGTTGGCCGTCTTCACCATCGCGCTTTCCATATCCACGCCTAGCGCTTGCAGGTGGTTGCTTAGACAAGGACATGACGCCTATTACCTACGCCCACATTCTCTACATAGGTAGCTCCCATCTACTTACCTACATGTGGTATTCAACTCACAGGTTCGTAGGTATATTGAGGTATGTACACCTACCTCTTCCAGCACCTACCTGGACCTCCCCAGATTCTCTCAATTCACCTCGGCCTTTCTTCCCCTGTCGCCTGCCACTCGTCGCCACCAGTCTTTACACAACGCACCGTCTTGTCTTTACCCATAAACATACCTACTTTCACTTCCTCCTCCATCATCATCAACCCTTTTACTACTTCCACCTCCTCCATCCTCCCCCATCATAACGTCCTCTCTTAATTCTGTCTCCCTTCCCCTACCTACCTACCTACAATATCCCGCTCCATAACTTCCAACTGTTCATGTCGACGAGGTGTAGCGACCTCCCTTCAAGAGTACTCACTGCCCGTTATATTTTTATCTGCCGGCTCCATTCGCTGTCTCTTCCACTATCGTCTAACGCTTTCCATCTCTAGGTCATCTCAAGCCAAGGGATCTAGCAGGTGTCTGGGTGTGTAGCTGCGTTGGACTCCCTGTCACATAAAGCAAGTCCCAAGTCGGTACATCTGCCATCTACCCATGATATCATCAGTTCCCAGGGAACCCCCGGATTACAGACACTGCCACTTCCTCCATATATACACCTTTTCACTTTGAGAATCACCAATCTACGTATGTATCGGGCCCTTGCCTCGGGTTACTAAGCCACTCCACACATCCTGTTCAAGCCAGCGCTGCATCTACCGACACCTTCTCTTACTTGATCTCAGCTTATATCGACCCAGAGGTAGCTTCCTTGCACCGGTAATGTTTTCGGCCCTGCTCTGTGGGACTGCACCCATCTAATTGTTGTGGTTGTCGTCGGGCCACCGACCTCATCTTTCGTCCTTTCGCCCCCGTCCCGTTGCACATCTCCATCATCTAGCCACCACTTGCCATTCATTCTGGTGTCTGCCAATCGTCATACAATCTAATCTTTGCTATCCTGGCATATCTTTCTGTCAGTTTTGCGTGTGCAGCTACACAATCAACCGAAACAAGCAGCCTGCATCGACCACGGCCTTGCAACGTCTTATTGCCAACCTGGAGTCGAGAGTTGCCTGGAT